TCCCACCATACACACAGCATCACCTTGTTGCGAGTTAACCCGGGTTTCGCCAGAGTCAGTGAAGCCTGACCGGCCTGTGACCACGATGTTTTGCGAACGAGCTTGTCGTACGTGATCCACTTTCCACAACCAGTTATCAGCTTCTTCAAAAATGGTTCGGTTTCATTACGCCATTATAAAGAATCACAAATAACTAAACGGTTCATTAGGTTTCTTTCAGTGAGCTTGTGAAGCACCCAAATATCAAGTTTTTTTTGTGAACCCAGCTTTATTCAAATGCGCTCAAATTGTTTTGTGGTCGTTTTCCAGTTCTTCGGCTATGTCGTAACAAATGATATGACGATCTTCATGTCCTCATTGTGACGAAATATAATGAAAGTGAGATTCAACAGCGAAATTATATCTCTACTAAGAATAACAATTATTATTATACAGTATTGAATAAAAGTCTTAAAACAAATCAACATTACTAAAGTTTTGATAACTTCAGCCTCTAATATGACAAACTATCTAACTACTAAATTAGTATTATTTTACCTTTTTGGCATTAATTACAAATAGGAACAATTATTTAGGCAGATCAAAACTTACGATAAGGGGCATTTACTATTTAATAGAGAACTTCTGATTAACTAATTATCGAATAGTTCAACAGGTAAATGGTCTTTAGAAAAATATATTCAGTACAAAAATTTTTAACTTAATCTTAGTTAGTTTGAGGCAGTCATTAATTGCATTAATCCATCTGACCTCTCACTCAACTGATAAACAAATATCACAAATAAACTCTACTTGAAGTACATCTCCCACACAAGAAGTGCAATATTTAAATTTGCACGCATTACATGTAATACTTTTATCAAAAATGTGCCTGTGGCACATATTACAATTGTTGTTAGATTGCCTTGCAATTTTTTTGTCAATTTTATTTTCTTCTAAATGGCATTTCCGTTTAACTGGGACAGGTTGGCTCATCATATTTTGCGGGATATCCAAGTTATAATTTTCTTTATTTGAAATAACATCATCATTGTAATTGTCAATCATAATTTGTTCAGTTTTCATATTCATTACACATTCATTTGGTAGGATATTACAGGAAATGAAGGGGTCAGGAGAGGATTGCAAAACATCAAGAGTGTTGTGTGATGGTATAATTTCTTCCGTCGATACGGTAAAATCGATCAATTCTATATTGAAACTCTGGTTTTCAACAATTTCAGAATGCATCGGAATTAAACCCAAATCATCTATATCATACTCTTCTTGTGGAACTTTTGCATCTTTGTAACAATATGCATCATCATATCCTGAAACAACTGCATCTGGTGAGTATGCTAGTAAAATATTTTGTGACCCCAATTCTGGCTCAGAATCTGGATGTGAATAATTATTGTGTAGGACATGGGTTTGTGGTGAATAACACAAACACATTCCTTTGTTAGAATCACCACAGAAGCAACTAAGGTCCCTAAATTTTATTTTGTTGATGTCATCTTTCAATGTAATAATTTGGTGTAGTTTAAGTGTACCAATTAATGTTCGTAGGTTTTCAGGTAGTTTTACCGCATATTCATTAGTTTTAATGTCGTCTACTAAAAATATTTTTACGGTCTTCATACATTCTGTAAGAATATTATAACACTGCAATGCATTTGTTGCATCAGCACCAAAAGAAACATGCTTATCCAAAGTACGCTTGACAGATCCGCCAATTCCATCTGCAATACTTTTTCCGTGGCCACTTTCTGAAAAAGACCAGGTGCAATATTCAAATCCCATTTCTTTCGGTATGATACTAAGTAAACAAAAGTTGCCTTTTTGTCTATACTGTGAATTTGGACCATCGGAGTGAAAGTGAAGAACTTTAACATCAGGTGTTTTTGTCCTTATTTCGTCTAGAATTGGAGTTAAATGAGTCCATATATGTTCTAGCCTATGGCCGTTGTCTTCAGATATAGTGCAAAATGATTGCATACTGGCTTTCCAAAAAATTGCACCGGTATGTAAGGTTATCTTTTTTTCGATGCTCCAAAATGAAGGGCTTGAACTTCTTCCCTCATCTAACAGTCATAATTTTCGCTGAAGTCACAAATTATCACAACTTCGTTTTCATTTAAATTATTAATTATCAGTTGATACTGTTTTCGTTGGTGTCTCATTACGTATACATGTTTCTTGAATGCATTAATTTCGTCGTCAAAAGCATGTTTTAGTGTACTAATAGGAGTATTTTTTTGAGATTTGACTGTTTTTTTTGTCTTCACTGTTTTATTATTTTTCGTATATTCATGATCAACTCGTTCTCACTGCCACCAAGTAATAATCTTACATTCATCGTCATAAGAACTGTAACTAGCTTTTTTATTTTTGCATTGACTGCATTCGTTGAATGCGCAAGTATATGATAAACGATTACAAGTTACTTCAGTCAAAATATCTTTATAAGATGTTTCTGTAAGTAGCCCATGTACTTTTAGCGCCTTAAATTTTAATTCAAAATTCGCGTGTTTTATACACAAACATGTGTCTCTCGAATTCAGCTGCGGTGAAAGAACATAGAATGGCTTATACTTCCACAAAGTAGTTATACCTAAACGTCCACCCTCTTCTTTATATTTTTTATACAAGTTCTCTAAAGTATCAACTGTATATTTTATTTGTTTCTTTTCTTTTCCAACGGATCTGCATTCTCTTTTACCCGCTGTTGATCTGCTGACATCATCTCTCAGCCAAAATAGTTCGACTTCTTTGTTACAACTCCGGCTTATTTTTTTCTACCGAACCCGATATATCAATTTAGCGACGTATGTTTTTTTCCCAGGTTGAGAGTTCTCAATTAACCGCTTCAAGACCTGTATTTCCATACGATTTGCACAATTTTTATATGTCCGCTGCAATGTCAATTCTAATATCTCTTCCCTAGCTTTAAGTTTGTCAATAATTTGTTGTTGATTATTAATTATCTCTAAATTAGATTTTTTTAATCGGTAATATCTTTTCTTTTGTTTTTCTTTAGCTTTCACAAATCTTTCATTTATTTTTAGTGCTAATTTGTACTTTTGTGTTAATATTCTGTATTTATTTCGCATGCTTTTTATATGTTTATTTAAATCTAGTGCTGATTTATTGGAAGGTGGAGATTTGGCACGTGATTGACATTCAGCGTTTGGTGTTCCAGCTGTCACGGGGGTCTTCTTGGGGTTTTGAGCTCTTTGTTTCCTCTTCTCTTCCCGCCAAATTTTACGATGCTCATTTTTTTCTTGTTCAGTCATCTGTGAAACTAGTTTTTTCTTCGATTTGATTCGCTCCAAATTTTTCTTTCTGATTTCTTCCGCTTTTTCCGGATTGCTTTTTAACTTCTCTCTATATCTTCTTACTCTTTCTACTGACGTTCGAGCCATTGTGATCTAAAATTGAAAATATATTAAATTCTATTAAGTTTCAGTCCCCAAAAAATATTTAATGATTTTATTTAACCTCATTCCGTAAACAATTCTACGAAACACTATTTTTTAAATTAGGCATGTCAAACTTTAAATCTAAAACTTAATAGAGATATTTGTAAAACCCAAAACTGCATCATTATTATTTTTATAATTAAAAAAAAAACACTGTGAATAATTCAAATGTAACAGAAAATATAAAAACTAAATCAGCAAAACTCAATTAATTTAATAGGTAAAGCATATTTTAAAGATGAAAACTTATTTTTTTGTTATTTAAGTATTGTACCGAGTTTCAAGGTAATGCCTCTCTTCAAATCAAAGATAAAATGGTGTAAATTTGTTTTTAAACAAAAAATAAAAACCGACTCCAAAATTGAAAACGGAACTAAACAGTAAAAAATAATATCCGGTTCATGATTTGGAAGTCGGGCGGGGCCAAGATTGAAATATGGAACAGATTTTCATTTCTAATCGGTTTTTACTGTTTAGTTCCGTTTTTAATTTTGGAGTCGGTTTTTATTTTTTGTTTAAAAACAATTTTTATTTCATCCATTTTAGTGTGAAGCGCCTACACATACAGATTTTTTTTCCATCATCAGCTCAGCAACATAAGATGATGAGTACCAGAGGCAAATACTGGAATAGTACTAGGAAATACCTAAAACACAGTGTACGTGCCTATAAAATTTGAAGAGTTCCCTCGATTTCTCCAGGATTCCATCATCAGATCCTAACTTCATGACAATGGGACCACCTGTGAAGTATTAACCCTTAAAAACAAAAAAAGAATTTTCCAAATCGGTTCAGGCGTCTTCGAGTAATCGGGGAACATACATAAAACATAAAAATAAAAAAAAAGATTCCGGCGTATTGAGAACCTACTCCTTTTTTTTGAAGTCGGTTAAAAATTAAAAGTTATTGTATGATCTAGCCTTTACAAGTCCGTTTTGTAACGTTTTTTGTCTGTCTTATAGTAACGTTACAAAAAAGACGTTACAAAAGTGTCGCGTGTCTCGAAATAAAATTGAATTTATCCAATAAAACGCGACAAATCCTTTAATGCCGTGATTTATTTGCAAATAATACATTCCAAGTCATGTATTGAACTTAAGATTAACGTACGTTTAGGCCATGAAACGATATAAATTAACGTTACTTACCAGACAAATATCAACACAAAATGTTAACTGGAAAAACGTCCGTCCACCTCGGCCGCTTTCTGTCACTGTTTTCAATATGGCCGATGCGTCTATGTCAGGTGTTCAGAGTTGCAAGAATTAAAATATATTTATCCATACTACTAGGTCAAAAAATTTGACGAGTTTTTGCGTTACAAAACCAGACATGTCCGGAAAGCGAAAAAGAAGGGGACAAGCTTTAAAAATTAATAATTATTTAATAACTATGATAATTTAAAAACAATTGTATTTAAATAAAAAATCTTAAGTATTGTTATTAAATGAAGTTATGTTGTATGTAGCCACAAAATAAAAACCCATCAAAAACCGAATACGAAGTTTGCTACCCGGAAAATTCGTTTCATACTGTCCGGTATGAAACGAATTATTCACATAATCTAAAATATTTTTTTTTACTAAAATAATACTAATTTATGTCCATATATTATAAAATTTAGGAAAACTATTCTGTCTATTTTCAATATATGTAAAAGTCGGTTGAAAAATATTTTTCTGAATGCTAATTAAAATTTTGTATGTAAAGGGACATCTCAAAAAAAGCATTTTGCCAATTAAAATGAAAATGCCCTGCTCCACTTTTTCGAAAATGGCATCCATTTTATCTATAACAGGGCGACCAGAGTGACGTGCATCTTTGACATCGAAATTTCCGGATTGATAACTCTTAAACTAAATCTGTGCTATTCTCACAGACACTGCACTAGGTCCGTAAATATCACAAAAACAATTCGCGACTTGCGTTGCATTATTACCTTTTTTGTAGTAAAATTTTAAAATGTATTGAATTTCTTAGTTATAGGTAAACCGCTTAAAATTCATTTATCTTGGCAGTAAGAAAAACAAATGAGAATCAAACATTTTTCTAATTTGAATTTGGAATTATCTTCTTTAATATTTAATACTTTTTAATGATACCAAAACCAGCCAGATACAAATGGTAAAAGAGATTTTATTACAAATTCATACATACTATAATTCGAAAATACTTTTCCCCTAACCTATTATTTTAATTTAGATGTAATTTTTCTGTCAAGCTTTACACAAGACGTGATATTATCATGTCTTAAAACTCGTAAAATATTTCTTTACAGTAAATAGATTTGAAATAAAAAATACTATGTGTACTTGTAACTTGTAATCGTAAAAACTTATGTTAATATCTTATTGGCTTGAGAAAGTGTTTGACTTATGCTCATAGTCTTGGAAAAAGTGAAACTTGTGTTGATGTAAATATAAATTAAGTACTGAAAGGGTGATTATGTGATTAGTTATTTTATATGTATTTAAACCGTTCCGTGTGTTGTTGTCGCTGTGCGTTGTCGTTTTCTTCATAAATGTGATTTTGTTGTACGTGCTTGCCGCGCTAATCGGCATAATCTCCGAAAATTGCCTCGAATTATATATTAAAAGCGGAAGTTTATTTGTTTTTTAGTTACATTCTGCTCGTTCAAACTATCGCTCTAAAGGAGTAATAACAACACCAAAATAACTGGTAAATTGTCTTATCTGGTGTTTTAAATATTTTTTTAATTCAAAGTATATTAACAATTTTGACAGTAATTACATGTTGAGTCCTTACTTAGTCCCAATTTATAATTATATTGTTATTTACAATTGCTGATAAGATCGATGTGATATTGTAGCTTTTGATTTTGTGAGTGACATTTCGGTCCCAATCCGTATGTGTAACAAACGTCATGAAAGTAAACTATTTGGGAGATATAAATAAGAGATGGCTTCACTTCGTACATTCATTCTATTCGTATATACGTTATTCGAACGAATAACGTTAGAATGAATGTACTGGAAAATATGTTTAGTGTAAATGTTAGTGACAGACTGGAGAGTGAAATGAAATGCGAACACTGTTGACTGAATAGTTCCAAAAGCCGATGTATGCAGCGATTGATGAAAGTTGAGGAAACGATAGAAGTACTTAGGTAGGTATGCTTGGATCGTAGTGAGCAGAAATCAATTTCTCTGAGGCACACACATACAACTTTAATAAGATATGGACGACAGTGAAGATAAGTATTTAATAATTATTATAATCTAATGAATAATTTTATTTATTACTAGTGGTACGCCCTCGCTTTACTTCGGTGTAGAACTGTAGTGTAGACTACATTTATTTTTCTTAGGCTTATATTATATACAATGACTTTCTTCATATAATTATAAACATTGGGTGAAAATTTATTTAACTGATAGTAAAAATTTTGTTGCGTAGTTTAGGACCCGTTGTATCGTATGCAACAATGCTCTGCTGTTCCTATTTAAAAAAAATTTTTTGTATTGCTCTATAACATCAGGCTACGATCAGTAGCAGCGGAGCACCGGTGAAGAATGTTGCTAAAACGGGTAAAAACATTCCATTTGCGAGATTCCGTTGCGTGTGCTGGGTAAACGGTTAAAGTTACACAAAAATCATGTATAACGGAATTGTTCCTCTTAAAAAGTTCTGTAAAAAAGTCCGCGGCAGCATATATGTCCATATTTTAAGTTTGACTCACTTTAACCTTTTTCTTCAAATTAACGCGGGTGAACCGCAGGGGACCTCTAGTTGTGACATAAATGTGATAGTTTTTTTAAAAGTAAATTTGTTTCGAAATTGTAAGTTTATTTATATTTTATTTATTGAACCGTTTCGCTTTCGTAGTTTATTTTATTTGTGGTGATCATGCAGACCGGACCAGAGAGTGGCCGGTAGCGTGATAGTTAGATAGCGTAGATATTGATGTCCTTTATAAAACTTTAGTAGATCACTTTGTTCTATTGTCAATGACTTCTGTAGCGTACTTGATATTAGGTTATTTTTTGGTATTTTTACACACGTAGAGTTACAGTATCGAAGTTTTCATACGGAAATTTTTTTTTGAAAATACTCTATAGCCTATGCTCATCAAGGATAATGAAGGACTCTAAATGTGATTTTTTTTTTCGAATCGGTCCAGTACTTTCGGTGCCTATTCAATACAAACCGACAGTCAACTCTTTCCTCTCTATAATATTAATTTAATATTTATTAAGGGTTGTTATAGCAGTAATTCCAAAATTATTTGAACCTTTTTTGTTTTGTATTATTCAGATACATTGTTTTCAAAGCAAATAATGAAATCCAATTTAGTTTTATGTAAGCATTATTGATGACGAAAAACATTACAATTCAAGATAAACTACTGAGGAAATGCTACGGATAAAGTTGAGGAGAAAAGTTGAACAAGATTGATTTATTAGTAGTCAAGACATCGATGAGGAACTACTAAAACAAAAGGTAATAAAATATTTACACCATTTATCGAATACCTCATAAATACATTTGAAGATAATAGTGTATTGTCTGCAAATTATGAAGATATGGGTAATCTAGATCCTAATACTCGACCATAGGTATTTACGAGTTTGTGTCTCGTATTAGATTCACAGACATTTACACAGATCAAACTGAATTAAGTATATCAAAATAGTGGCCGTGTAAATTGTAAACAATACATTTACCTATGCACAAACCTACATAGATATAAAAGCAAAAAACATTAATTTTAAAAAGATAGTAAGATTTCGCCACAGTTGTATATGGTGTCTATATACAAGCAATTACGAAGTAGGTTAAACATATAAAGTACTACAGTAACACAACGTTACGTGATACTACTGCAAACGAATAGTGCTTGTCATAGTGGATCGGGCCAACATAGTTGTGACCACATATGAAACTTGGCAAACTTAAGCGCGGACCAGATCTCAATGCTCCGTTGGCCTGGATATGTTATGTAGCTTCAGAACTTGTCATTAGGAATGCATGATCTTAATAATGGTTTGATTTTATAGGGTAATTTTGTGAAAAGTATGTTTGTACAGGAAAGTTCGCCCTGTGTGCAACTGTGCAGTCGTGTGTTGCTTTGACTAATCAAAGGGTAAAGAGATAATTATGTTTATATATTAGATATAAGGTAAGTTCATACTTACCTATCACATTTTTATGAGTAAACTTTATAAATATATCTATATGGCATAGACCGAATAGCTATCAGCTTATATTTTGATTGTCGTTATGTACAATTTTAATAATTACTGGCGGCTGTTTACAGAACTTGTTCTGAGATATAATCTCTTGTATTTTTCTGTTGTTATAATAACAAATTAATTTTGTTTTAGGCACAATGCATATATTATTATCAGTATGTAGTCTTAGTTAGTGTATTAGTTTTCCACACAAAATATTGTAGGTGCATTGGTCATTAAATTGATCTAACGATTAGTTGAATCGAAATATCGCTTGCATTTTCATCTACAATCAATTGTACCGGAATGGAAAATATCAATGAACTGCATTCGCAAAAAGAAGGTTGTTCAGTTAATTAAATTTACTGCAACTCGTCTTGATTGTACACACCAGTAAAAACGTATTCTTTGAATTGAATACTGCCATTATTTGAGCGACTACCGAAATTTTGTTACACAGAGTTTGCGCAACAGATCGATAACACTATCTCCTTTTGAGTGGGATCGTGGCTTCATTGCTTCCTCGCTTGTTTTATTGGTGCTACTGATAATGAAACCTAATTACACCCAGTAGCTAGCTTCTGTATTGATAGTATCACAACTTGAAATAGATTAGGTTTGTCTATCGCATCTTTTTCGTAACCCAGTGCTCAAATCCCATCTTTGTAGTTATCAACATCAGTACCTAATATCTTTATTACCGGCGTTTCCAACTAAATTATATCAACATCAGTTTGTATACATTCAGTTATAGCGACAGTGACAGTACCCATCTGTTAGATATCGCAATACGACACAATTAAGGAAGTATACTCATGATGACACATTACACATACGTAATGAACGTTATTTAATTTCTGTTCGATGAAAGGGTATGATTATGTTTTAATGGCTACCAACAAAGTCTCGCGCTTGTCATAAACTGTAAATTTGTGTAATAACGCTTAATGTAGTCCAGTTTGAGTTTGTATTCGTATTGTTTCCTTATAGCAATTTAAAGTTGCAACGGTGCGGGCAGCTGGTGGAATGAAATTTAAAAGTTCATAACTCTGGCAACTCTACCGTTTCCGTTTGTCTAAAGTGCCAGAAATGAGGTCGTGGCGTGAGATAACGAAGCGGAATGAGCGGTGTAAGTACTTATAACAACCCCAATGCGAAACCAAGCGACGGTCATATTTATTGCGTTACATACATAAATAAATATACACAAAGTCTGAACGCCATAAATGTCTCTTACGTGGTTAGTATACAAAGTGAGGAAGCCTTTATGACTTCATGTTTTATAGGTTATAATCTAACAAATGGAATGCATTAGTATCTTTCATAACTCTTTCATACAAATCCTAAAGGGAAAATCGCTAAACCCACTACTACGGCTCAACGTACTCGGTAAATAATACCAACAATCTTCAACGAATACCCGAGACTAGGAACTTTATCTATAAAAAGGCTAAAAATAAATATTTTAATAGAACATACTGAGTGCTGCTATGAATTTAAACAAAAATATTTTCCAAGGCCAAAGCGGATGAGTTGAGGCGATGAGTTTATAAATAGTATTCTTTCCTATTGCGATATTCAGGAATATTCGAAAAAGATTCATACAAGGCATTGAAAGCTCTAACATTTTCTAAAGTTGACAAGTACAAAGTGGTTATATTTTTCTTCGCGTGTTCAAAGCCTGTAGCTGTAGACAGTGCTATTATGCAACTTTAACGCTCCAGCACATAAACAGAAAGAGATCAATTCCCGTAACGAAAAGTTCTGCAAAAGTGTACGAAAAAGAAAAAAATACAGTAAGTTGGCACACGATGAAAGACGGCACCCCTATTTGTGCATGAGCCAGGAAACAGGTCCCAGCTCGCTTATTAACCTGGGTTCATAGCAGGGGACGCAATCGCGACGGTATTGTCACAAAGCACTCTGAACGAGGTCAGACGCGTGAAACAATGCTAGAATACAAGTACTTTTCATTTTTATCACTACTTTTTTTAAGTGCACTTTAAGATGGACCTAGTTAGTTTCAGAATTCTGGTGCGAGGTGCGCGTAACATTGTTCTTTATTACATCTTACATAGCAATGCATTTTATTATTAATCAGTGCTCCGAGAATTTCGGCAAGTATGAATAATTTCGTCAATTCTTGACACATAAATTTTAAACAAAGTTGCAAAATATTTCTTTTTCGTCATACGCCTTCGTCGCGACTACAGTCGTACAAAACAGAAACCACATCATTATGTTATTCAATAATAATGGGCGTCATTCGCGTGACATCATTTGTGATTCATTAGAGGTGCTCGTTATGGGTGTCGGAACGTGTTTATGAGTAGCAAAATCATAATCATAGAAAACGCAACACTGCTTAGATACTATATCCTTGAAACACCGGTGGGGCAGTCTAGTATATTTTTATATTTGTCGGAACTAGCTTTTGTGATCTCTCTCTAATCTTTCTATTTTTAACCTAACAGGGATGAGCCCTGTCATTACTAGTAAAATTTAAGATTTTTGTTTAATAGACTATGGTAGGTATATGTACTGTTTGTATGTTTATTAGCCTAACCGCGGAACTTTTTAACTTTACTCAACGCCATTACTCCATCACCAAAAGGAAGTGTCATTTCACTCTACTCGTCTTCTGTCGGGTTAAGGTTAACTTCCTATACGGGCGCTCAAATTAGAATAGATTATCTACAATGTCCTCAAACTTTTCCTAAACCAACATTTTCTTTCGCAGTGCTATCAGCGAACACGTTGAGCGGAACAAGCGCGGGTCTGGTGCCACTTATTCCAGAGGCTGCCCTAGGTGCGGTGGATATGGTTCAAGAGGGGGAGGGCGGCGCGACCGGTGACGGCCTCATCGCGCCGCGCCGTCTCCTCAACCCGTGCCTTGAGAACCCGCAGCGCTTGGACCTGCATCGCGAGCTGCTCTTTAATCAGAAAATGTGAGTACCTACTGTACATTAAAGGGGTACTTACCAGGCCCGTGCCCAGTGCCGCTTATTCCAGAACCTGCCCTGGGTGCGGTGGATATGGTTCAAGAGGGGGAGGGCGGTGCGACCGGGGACGGCCTCATGCCGTGCCTTGAGAGCCCGTAAGGCATGTACCTGCATCGCGAGCTACTCTTCTATCAGAAAATGTGAATACCTTATATAAATTAAAGGGACTTACCGAGGCCCGCAACTTGTGCCGCTTATTCCAGCGGATAACCTGAGTGCGATGGATATGTTTCACGAGGGGGAAGGCGGTACGACCGGGGACGGTCTCATCTCGCCGCGCCATCTCCTCAATCCGTGCCTTGAGAGCCCGCAGAGCATGGACCAGCATCACGAGCTACTCTTCGATAACAAAATGTGAATACCTAATCTAATTTGCAGTTGCCGATTCTTCGGGATTGCAATTCAGAACTTCTGGGTTCGTCAGAAGTTTCATTAATGTGATTAATATACGTTCGTTCTCATCAATAGGCCATTATTCGTTTCATTGTTTTTTTATACTACAGAATTTCTGTATTACACACCTCATTTCAGTTCCACTAAACTAAATAAGTTGTCCGGATTTTTGAGTAAATTCGCAATTGTTTCTTTTATTGATTCAGACTGTGTTAGCCTTTCAATGTAATCCAATTCATTAATTTTAAGGCATTAAAAACGTCAACTGCACCAAATTTTTAGGTACAATGGAACCCATTTATAATAATTACAATCGCCAATCTTCGGCCACCTGAAGAATTAATACTATCTTAAGAATTAAAAATAGTCCTAATCAAATTCACATTAAGTTCGTAGCTTTAATTGAACAAAGATATAAAATATAGAAATTGCGTCGCAAATAACATACAAAGCTATGGATTAGTTTTATTTAATGCAGGGGCAGACCGTTGGGTGTGGTGTGGGAGAACACGCTGCATTGCAACAAGGTCAATGCGGTGTTATCAGAGTGATAGCATAATGAAGTTAGTGTTCTGATGTTTGTGATTTTGAATATGACAAATTGTTTAACCTTTTCCCCTTATTATTAAACAAGGAATAAGCTTAGACTATTTACGTCGTGTTTTGTTCATGTCACTCAAATGCCATTTGTCATTCAATAGACAGATACAAAACATGGAGTAACTAATACAAGCGTAGTCTTCGTTTATTAATAAGGGGGTTTATGTTTATGATAACTATTTGGATATAATAAATGCATTACCAAATTATGTAATAAAAGAAGTTTACATAGGTATTCATAATGCCATGGATAAACTATAATAAATAAACGTATCACATTCCAAATCAATAAAAAAATATTCTGGCATATAAGTATATTAGTCTATAGTACTGACTGATCTAACAACTTCAAGAACCTTCCATCTCAACGGCCATTGTTATGAAGGGTGTCTGTCAAAGGCGTTATTGTTCTTTGTGTAAAAGCCTTGCCCAAGTCTTAAAGAAATGTTCACGTGTCTTTTGAAACAACTTCTCCTTTGAGATTTAAAATCATTATAACTCGATGCACATAAATTACTAAGACGATTTTTTATACAATAGCCAAGTAAGAATTCTATGATCAAAACAAAAAAAAAACTAGAAAAGTCAAAAGACCGATGCTCTATGAATTAAGCTATTTAGGTAGATAATGATGTCGATTCTGGCGTGATTCTCTAAACTTAAAACTAAATTTAACATCAGTCTCTCCTTTTCATTCTGTATAGAGAATGACAAGGATATACTGTTGTCAAATTTAAGTTTAGGTTTAGAGAATCATGCTAGAATCGACACCAATGTCTAGAATTTAGTGTAATGGATGTATAAAATTGGAGATATTTATTTTTATTCAATTGTAAATATCTAAATATGAAATCTGAAAAATAGATACGTAAGTAGAGAAAGGTGCAGCATAGTAAGAAATATTTAAATTCATTGTAACGAAATTCAATCATTTCAAATTTCGTAGACCAGCTATTATGGGCGCCGGGATTCCTACACGGCCTCAAGAAAGGATGCCTTTTTTGTCGGCATTCTTTAGTGGTCGGATCCATTGATGAAACTTACCTCGCTTTACTTATTACCTCATACCGCCGTAAAATTTTATCTTACTTAAATGGTTGAATAGATTGCTTTTAGATGTGATGTGACATAAAATTAGTTCTTCTTTTTATTTTTTTATTTATTATTATTTTATATTTCTTATGATTAGGCATAACAAAAAAGTTTATCACTTTATCAGAAACTGAGATGTCTAATGAAGAGACAATTTAGGATGTCGCCAATCTAGTTATATAATTTTCTATCTTAATTTAGTATTCATGTTTTTAAATGTAGCTTTGATGTAAATCTTCAAGTTCTTCTCTTCGAAAATCATTTGCAGCACTAGATACGAAACTCGTACGGTTACTATAACATTTTTTTATGCTAGAATATTAAAATCACCTAAAAAAGAAATAGTTTTTGCTAGTGCTAAATGTGTTTCGGATTCTGAGCGCACAGGTGCACGGCATCCTGTCTGGAACCCGCTACTAGCTGCTATTAAGGAACATCTGTCGCATGATCTTGCTCACACGTAGTAGACTTTAGAGTTTGTTCGAGTTAAATATTAACAACGGAAACCCACAACATGTTTTTTTGTGTCAGAGAATTCACATTGCAACCTAACTATATTATTTTTAGAATTGCCTAAGATTAAGAAAATTGTCCGTAGTAAGCCAATTTCGCTCGCTTTCTTTGGAAATAACTACTAACACGGCGTAGGTAGCATAAAATCCGTTCGTAACTATTATACCATAAAACAAACTGAAACGGAATGGCAACATTTATTGAAATTTTACTTGAGAGTGTTAATAATTCGAAGGAAATGACGCCAACGTACGTTATTGTACAAGAAGGTTATTCATGCGATTTATTTTTCTTTTCAAAGACCATCGAATCGATTTCTTTCTCTTATAGTCAATAATATCGATAAGACAAGAGACTCTTTAAAAGAAAATATTAAAGATATCGATATAATGATAGTTGTGTCTCTTTTTGTATGTATTTATGAAAATTTTGTATTTGTTGGAATGACATATTAATTTATTTCCTATAAATAGTGATAAACACTCGCTCAATACTAGAAATAAAAATAAATTTGCTGTATCAGTTATTAGGCTCCACAAAATCAATAATTCATTTAAAGATCTTTGTGATGAATAAAGCGTTTTATAAGGTGTCTATTGTATATCGGACAAAAATATGTACTTGGGTTTAACTAACGTAAACTGTTCCAAACGTTTCAACAGGCTGTTACTATAATTATGATGAAAGTGACCAAAATTTTTATTGATACTGTAACAATATAATATTTTGTAAATATTGTTTCAAGATTTGTCGCTCCACAGCAAAAAATGTCCTTATCTCTTACCACCCGGTAGGAAAAAAATAATGAGGATTCAAAGAGTTGTATTATGCTTCTTATTTGAATAAAGGTATTTTGAATTGAATATATGACTTTTTGTAAAACATGGGAATACTGTCAGGTACTAGATAATTTCAATTATGCCTTTTAATATTTTTTTTCTTATACGATAAAATATGGGCATTTACATATTTAGTAAATAACGCAACTCATAAAATAGTTTCAGTATTTTCTATAACAAGTTCAAATAAAATATCGTTCCGTCCAACTACTTACAGTAAGTGTTGATTGAAGGTATATATATTTATTAATAATATACTAGTTGAAATGTTCTATGTCGTAAATAGCTTCACAGCGTTGACCTGTTGATTCAGCTCATTTCCCCGTCAATGTGATTGTCGCCGTCATCTCGGGGTGCCATTTCCGTGTTGCCGCCGGGCCTATTGCGGAAGGAAGCAATCCCAGTCCGTTAGTGGGAACGCAAACGCTATTTTGTAACAAACTTACTCATCATGCTAAGGCTACTCAACTGAAACTTAGAAGATAAGATGAAGACATGATAATTTATCAATTATTAGCGGCCATCCGCGACTTCGCCCACGTTAACTTTAGTTTTTTGAATTTAACAGGAACCTGTCACTTTTCCGGAATAAAAAGTATCATATATCTCAATTCAGGTCAAAAACTATATGCATACCAAATTTAATCCAAATCCGTTCAGCAGTTTTTGCGTGAATGAGTAACAAGCATACAAACTTTCACATTTATAATATTAGCAGGATTAGCAGACATTAGATTTGCTGTGATATAGTAACAGTTATTTCCAAAAAAAAATAACCCTTTAATGTAGAAAAATATAGATTCTTCTATATAGGGATATATTTATAATGATATTATGGTATATTCACTTGCTTGTACATTGTATTACAAACATAGACTATGCTATGATTGTATTTATTAAAATACATAGAGTATTAACTCAATAAATTTTATGACTGTCACTAAATATTCCAAATAATAAAATCTTCTCTCCTCTTATGAATGACGTTCGACCTGTAAAAATAGCTTATTCCCATCAAAAGCTCAAGTTTTATGTGGTTTCGTTGTAACCACAACAAAGAACTAAGAAGTGATGAAGCAGTAAAATTGTCAGTTTGCTATACATCATGTTGTTGCGAGCCGAGCGAAGATGTTTGATGTTGATAAATAAACCGGCGGCAGGCTATTTACTGTTGCCCGCTTGGGAGACGTCGCTGATTGCAGACTGATCTGAAACGATATTTCAATTCGATAAATTACGATTTCACGGAATCAATTTATATCTCTTTAAAACCATTTCCAGCGAGTTCAGATAAATTATTTCGAAAACTGGAAGCTAAAATTAAAATACAATTATGAGAGCAAAAGTGAGTAAACAATAACGTTTGCACATATCCTAGGTATTTAAAATGAATGCTCCATTGTTTTTCAGGTTTCTTATCAATTATTGTTGTCATTTGATTGTTTCTATATGATTGCAACTATTTGCAGCTAAATTCAAGACTGGAGTCTTTGATATTGACCCCATACAATAGGATTTGTTTATATATCTACCATTTGGAACTTTATTAAGTAAATATAATAAATTATGAACTCACTTCTTTCATGCAATCTTTGTTTCTTTAGGTTCTAAAATCAGTGCTTAAAATTATTGCTTTTATTTATTGTTAAATTTTATTTTATTATTGCGTAGGTTATTTGTACAAAATTACTAGAATCTTTCAGGCGTGACTAACTAATAGCAGCGTAGTGAGAATCTGGTAGTCGGTTATAAGTTGATAAAATTGCACTTACTCAACGAGGATTGAAATTTAACGTTCACGGGTATGGCAAACTGGACGAACAATTTAATTCTTTCTTACTTTTAAATTTACTAATAAATTGGATTATTATGGTCTCGTTATACACTGAAGTATAAACATATAAAGAAAATACAGTACAGTTTAAAGACCATCAATCACTTAGTAAGAAAAAAAGACACATGATTGTAATTAATGAAGAGAACCGTTTGTTTTATCAGTAGACGTAGACACAGGAAAATGTCATTTGTGTTATTATGAATTTATGAAAACTTTAGGATTTGATAAATCAAACACAGTCAATTAAATCTTCCATCAGAACCCGCTAAATGCTCGGTTAAACTTTGTGATTGAGAACTTATTTTAGAATTGAATCTCGTAGCAAAATTACCTCGTGGGAGAGCGCCTAAGTGAAAATTAATTTCGTACCTACGTCGTCGGATTAATTTAATTGGATGAACATTTCAGGTTCATTTTCTAAATAACTTGATAAATATGGATATAGTTAACTCGGAAAATAATAGTTTTCATAACGCGTGACGGTCATGAAGCGATTTTTAAACAAAATAAGGTTGGTTCAGAAAAAAATTAAAATAATAGGGAATGTAAACTAGTGTGAGCAAAAATAAGTACTCACTACTCTATCCTGATGACTTTTTTATGAGTTATTTAGTTGACAGTTGGCCTGGTCTGGACTGGACTTTTGAAATTATTCATTGAGTAGACTCCATAAGTATCTTTGGACTTGCTTTGGAGCCTCATTCATAGATAATTTTAGGGTGTCTACTCCATTAAGAAAGCAACATTGTTTTTATTCATGTAAAATCATAAATTCATTCAGTCATCTCTCGAAGCTTCTCGCGACAGGTCCCTTGGTGCAAAACAATTATTAATAATCTATTAACATATATTTTTGATAAAAAAAATCAGATAGGTTTCGATAACGAGACTTTTATTAAAATAAGCCGTCAATGCTTCATAGTGATTTTTCTTTCAAGAAAGTATCTACATATTTATTATACAGGTAGGGTATGGGTACTTCAGGCAGTTAAGTTTGTGGTTCGTTCCTTACGCGGGGTGAAGCTAGCATAAAATAAAAGACACACATTACGACACAATGTGTACAGCAGAACCAATAAAACAATGCAACTTCTCTGACGTCATCATCACGAAATAGGCAACACACATGCAGGTATTGATCGTGGGAATGGGTATGCAACTCTTGTTGACGGGGATTTTTTTATTTGTACGTAAGCTTTCATGAATACAAACATGTTTGAAACTTCAAAAGAAAATGTTATCACATATTGGCTCGATGATCCTTTTCAAATGAAGGGAAATTAAATTGTAAACTTCCCACAATAATTTTGTAGGATGTCTAAGTTTGTATTCAAATTTTCGTTGCATTGAAATGTAACCGTGGTTTTTCTCACAAATATGATTTCGATTACTGGTTGTTATTGCACATAAGTAGTCGAATACTTATAGCTACACAAAGAACGAGTATCATAAATTTTTATTTCTTTAAGTACTTTTATTAATGGCGAACTTTAATTTAACGTGAGCCTTCGTCAGAGTTATCCTATCAGCTGCAGTAAACTCTGTCCTTCTGGTGGTAAAAAGCACTTTTAAAATTCACAAACGAATCCGAGCTACTTATCGACAGAATATAACGTTATCAGTCAGTCAGAACGAGTAATCTCGTGATATTGACTATAGTATACAATTCTAAAGCAGCCATAGCCATATATGGAAATCCAAGTGAATTTCGAACGATAAGATAACTCTACTAGCCTGATACTGATAAAAGCCAAAAACATGATTGTTACGAAAACAGCTAGAAAATGGTTTCAATAACATTTTTTGTCTTCATTTTTAGAATCAGCTTGTTACATTAGGTCAATATTTACTACTTACTATACGTTCTAGTATACTTTACCTAAGTAAGCAACAAAGATATTTTATAAATTCAAAGAAAATTTTACTAGAAATCTTACCGCGTAGACTACGCGGTCCAGGCATCAGACGGGATTCGAACCCTTGCCTTCTGCAATCTGGGTGGACTAAAATTATGCTAACGAGGCCTTAATGGCCGTGCCGAATTTCCTCTAGTATTTCTTAGGCTGCTAATTTTTATCTAGTAACATTTTCGTTAGATTAGTAAGAGTAGCAATTAAGTGATTCGAATTTTAAATATATTTAAGATATTTTATGTATATCATTATCATCAGTGGCGTAGCATAGGTCACTAGCACCCGGTGCGGATTCCAAATTTGCCGCCCTCTTATTTTTGCAATCCATTATAAAAAAATTGAGGCATGGTAAAAAGAGTACTTTTATTGAATAACACTAACCTAAGAGTGAAATTATCATTTTTTGACATAGAGTAGAAGGTAGACTATCACAATATCACTTAGAAAAATTACAGAGAAAACGTAATACAATAATTCCTAAATAATAGTTATTGAGAAACCTTGCGCTTGCATCACCCATGCATAGAACCTGCATAGGTACCTGGGTATTTGGTAACAACAACAAAAAAATGACGAAAAAAAACCGGAAAGAAATTAACTTTTTTTTTATATTTTATTTTTTTTTTCTCTATCTGCCACCTCCGCAGCGCCGCCCCCGGCAAAGTGCCGCCCGGTGCGGACTGCACCCCCCGCCCCCCCCCCATGCTACGCCACTGATTATCATATGTTTATCATTAAAAAAAGTTACGTCTATAAAAACAGCAGTTTTTATAAAGTAAACTGTCGTCAACCACTTTTGCGGTAAAAAGTCTATGCCTTGGTTGCTATCTGTCTGTCTATATGTTCATCTTCAAGGTTCCCTTTATTTTCATTCCAAAATCGGTTTATCTTCTATGCCTAATAGACAGATAAACAGAGTAATAATTCCGCATTTTATAATATTGTTATGGAAGTCTGGATTGGTAGTGTAAGTTATTGTTCAGTTATAACAATGACAACATTTAGGGTAATCATCATAAAATATGGGAGATGAGATTTGGGTTGATTAAGAAATTAGTACTTAGTTATAATGATTTAGTTAAAATTTCTTTTGAAAATAAACAACGATATTACTTCTGGTTAATTAAATTTTCGTTTTCTTTTCGAATTTCAGAGGAAAAAATGTCCTCAACCAAAAGAGTGAACTCCAAAGGGCCCTTTCAAAACACAAAGAGAAGCAGATTATGAATCAAGTACGAGAGCACAAGGAAACTCCAGGTAAATACAAAAATATGGCTTATATTTTAAAATTATTTCTAAGACACTTCTTTATATCATACACAGCGGTATATAAATAATACATATTAACCTGTTTTCGTAAAAATATTACGGTCTCGTCTGATATTCTTAATAGGAGTGACGCCGAGGTGAGGTAAACGAAAAGCTATTTAGTACATAACAGTTACATTGTCAAAAAATTATGGACACGTATTTTTTATTTGGCCAATAAACCAAAAAATAACTATTTATTACGAATAGAGCGCGTCAAAGTTTGGGAGTGGGGGCTTGTGACGTCACTATTTAGTAAAAAATGTACAAAAACGAGACGTCATGCGACATTTCAGATCAAATATCTGTAATGGTTTGACTATGTGAATTAAGGAAAAATAAGTGTCCAATACTTTTTGATAATGTTCCTGATAGACGAAGAGAACAAAGTAAAATCCCTATTTAAGCATAATTTGTAATAGGCCGTCATAGTGTTTTTGCTTATAAATGTCAATAATTGGTAATATCATTTATATTTTGAGTGAGATCAAATATAACTTAAACAATTTGTCAGTGAACAATTTCTTAGTTTAATTATTGCAAAGAGTACCCTAATCAACAGAAACGTACATATTTAACTTATTTTTATACCTCTACGCATAACAAAAAGTTATGGCATATTATCATTACGGTTTTCGCAATCTGATCAGCATCAAAAAATAATATGTTAACTTCGGATTAACCTTTGCCTAGCCAGCAAATCACTTTATGCAATGTTCTCGTAATCAATTAATATTAAGTAATTTTACTCCCTGTAATTACGTACTGTCTTTGAGGGTCATTTTTCTTCATTGGGTGTCTATCTATATGGATATTGTGTAAATTTCTAGTAACAAAAAGATAAACTTATAGGACACTCTATTATAGGTACATTATGTATATATGTGTGTATGTATGTATATTTATATGTATGTATGTATATTTTCATGTATGTATGTTTGTATGTATGTATATTTTCATGTATGTATGTTTGTATGTATGTATATGTTTATGTATTATACGCTATTTAATTTTGTTTTTCTCAGTGTGTGATGTTTGCTTTTTTCTATGTCTGCCGTTTTATTGACTCTGCACTTTCTTTCCGGTTGACTGGTAGAGAATGCCATGCTGGCATTAAGTCAATATAAAGTAAATATAATATGCAATGTAAAGGCATTAAAGATTAAATAAATAAATACTCTTTGACTAAGTTCTTCCATTTACAACTGCCGTTTTACGTTCCTTTCGAGTTTAATGTAATAAGAGTATCCTTCGTGCTTGCACCTCGTCATTAACCCGTCATTCAACAATGCCGAATAACTTTCGCAGAACTGGTTTATGTAGTTTTTCGCCGCATATTCGGCCTCGGTGTTTATCCGGTTCACAATACGAATGCACAGGTGCACTCGGCCGTTCACCCCGCGTCACTGCCTTTGCGCGCACGCACCTTTTATTTAATCGGTCAATATTTGCAACGACCTTGGGCGTATCATATCATCTCCCAGTTCCATTGATTGAATAGTCACAGACGGTTAACATAGACTTGGATACTTTGTGACATAGAAAGAAGAGTAAGGATCGGGCAAATAGTATCTCGTCTAACTAAAATATCTAGGTACTCTGCATTAAAAAACATTATACTTCTACTTTGTTTTATAATAAGTACATTAATTCTGGTTTTTTATATTAGTGTTTTTATTAATAATAAAAGAAATCTTTTTTGGGTTATTGTCTGTATTTTAAGCAAAAAGTTAGAAGAAATAATATGACATTGATGCTTGTATTTATCTAATCTGATCAACCAGGTGATACTAACTTACTTTGCTTTTATCTAGCGGGTGCTGCGATGACTGAATAGATAATTTCTTAAACGTATTTGTATATAAATCACTGTTTCCATATCAATTATGTATATCTTACCCGCAAACTGTATAATTCAGGTATTCTATACAATACCAATGATATTAATAAATATTATTGTTCATTATATATTTTACCTAGGTAATGTTTACAATTCCTAGACATTGTAAATGTAGATGTGTAGATTCCCGGAATTGTATAAAATTTACCGATTTTCGCCTCATCGTAACCCTACCTAATGTAACCTAGCTAACCCGTTTGGATATTAAATAATGGACGGATTTTAATTTTATACTTCTCACTAACGTTCAACCAACTAACTCACTGTGGGTTAGATTAGGTTACTGCTGTGACCTAAAGTTAGCCAGCCACCTGGTAGATAATAGATTAATAAATCATGGACAAGTCGATAAGTTGGTCAAACGTTGATTTTGATTGGTCTTTTGAACTATAGTTCATTCGGTGAGAAAATCATAAAAGTGTTTCTTTTTATGAGATCTGAGTTGTTAAAATGGTTTTCGAAACCATGTTCCTGACTCACTATCTTCTTTTACAAATATCGCCGACTGTGCATTCGGTATTGTATAGAATACCTAGGGAAAGTGTAAAATGAATAATATTTCATACATTATCTTAACGTTTTAGGTATTGTATAGATACATTGAGGAGCTCGATGGCGCAGGTGGTTAGCGCGTTCGGCTGCGATCGTTGAACTTAAGCAACTTTCGCAGTGGTCGGTCATTGGATGGGTAACCAAAAAATCTTCTATCTCGAGTTCCTCCGTGCTTCGGAAGGCACTTTATGCAGTTGGTCCCGGTTGCATCTGCAGTCGTTAGCACCCGCCAATCGCACTGGGCCCGCGTGGTGGGTCATGACCCAATCTCCCTATACCATCCATAGGAAAGGCCTGTGCCCCAGCAGTGGGGACATTAATAGGCTGATGATGATAGATACATTGCTTAGGTTTACCCAATGCCCATTGTATCAATGATGTTTTTATAATTGCCAGAATGCCGGTAACATATTTGTACTTTTGTTATATCAACATATTTACCTTTTATAGCTAATCAAAAAAGCATCAACAGTCCTCCTTTTATTATTATATTTAAAATTTTGAACGCCACAAAATGTTATTAAAAAATATCAAGATAGACCATGAGCAGAACAGATCGAAATACTTAGATAAATTTACTCATTGGCGTTAAAACATCGTATTATTATTACATTACATAGAATTTTATAATAACTACCGTTTCTGTTTTTTTTTCCTTTTGAGGTACGGTACCCTAAAAAGACCTTGAAGCGGCCAGGTCTTACTGATATAATTATATTAAATTACTCTTATGGCTAAACTTTGACATCGTTTTAAAGGAACAGTATTCTTGATTATTTACATCTTTATATATATAATTCTTCTGTGAGTGTGTATGTCACTGAACTTCTCTTAAACGACTGGACCGATTTTGATGAAATTTTTTGTGTGTGTTCAAGGGGATCTGAGAATGGTTTAGATTCACAATTCTGTCCGCTGGACAACCCCTATTTTTTTAGGGCGGTACGAAGTTCGCTGGGTCAGCTAGTTACATATAAAACTGATTATAACTTAGATTAGTGAAGAAGAATTCCAACAATAATTATACCTTATCTACATAGTAACCAAATTAATTGATTGCATCAAATATTTATTATTACCAAAAGTAATAAGTAACACTACTGAATGAAAGCAAACTGCAGTAGGAACCAATCATACGAATAGTGAACCACTGCGCGCCGCGCACCACCGGGGAAAATAATGTAGATAAAACGCGGAAACGATTCCGTAACTGCTCTGCTAGAAACTTTTACAATAAGCATCGCAATAACATTCAATTAACGTGTTTCCTTCCAACTTATAACGAACAATTTATAGGTTTTATTCTAAACTTTCCGTCCTTTTGATGTTTTTCGTGACATTTATAAATTGTAACTAACTTTTTTATGTAATTCATTTATTAATTATACTTAACCATTACCAGCTGTGGCCCGCAGTGTTTTACTCGCGGTTTATTAGGGATATTTTCCCGCATTTAATTAATTTATTAATTATACTTAAACATTACTAGCTGTGCCCCGTGGTGTTTTACTCGCGGTTCATTAGGGATATTTTCCCGCATGTAATTCATTTATTAATTATACTTAAACATTACTAGCTGTGGCCCGCGGTGTTTTACTCGCGGTTTATTAGGGATATTTTCCCGCATGTAATTCATTTATTTATTATACTTAAACATTACTAGCTGTGCCCCGCGGTGTTTTACCCGCGGTTTATTAGGGATATTTTCCCGCAGTAAGACGTAGCCTATGTGTTAATCCAGGGTGTCAGCTAACTCCATACCAAATTTTATTAAAATCGCTCCAGCCGTTTAGACGTGAGGATTTAACAAACATACTTACTCCATACAAACTTTCGCCTTAATAATATTAGTGTGATGAACTTCTTACTCATTAATCATCATTAATGTGGAACATAAAATAATAAAAAGGTCGATTCTTTAGAACACATAAAACTAGGTTATTGTTACGTTACTTTGTTGGTAAGCGGTCATTCTGTTATTTTGGCATGTTATTTATAACCTCCTATATTTGTCCTACAGAGTGTACAGGGGGTCACAACAATGTCATTGGGAAATTTTAACACACATTAGTTTTTTTGCATCTTCAACTTTAGACATTGAAGTTCAATTACATTACTGTTTCTGTGACTCTACTGTACCTATAAAAAATTTAGAAGTTTAGGGAAGATAACCTGGATTTTTCTCTGAAATGTTATATATATTTTTATAATTGAATAAGATATTTCATAGAGATTTACTACGGCTTTGTAAGCAGGCATATCTTTAGTGATTCGATAATGCAATCTGGAACAATTTATCGGAACTTTTCTAAATTGTTTCTTCGAGAGACTCGTGTATGTCTTGATACTTCAATCTCAGATTACAGAACAACAGGTTCTGTAATCTAAGACTTGAACTATCTTATCACAGAATATAAATTTATTTAAGTCGCCAGGTTACTCCTAAAAATGTTGGTAGTTGATTTTTCAACCGGGGGTTAAGTTATTTAGTAACTTTAACTTTTTCCGCGAACATCTTCAAAGCAAAAGCAAGTGTCACGTGGTATAAGCTAATATCTTTCCAAGCGTCAAAAGAAGGAGTTCCTAAAAGTTAGGCCGCTTTGTGTCATCGATAGTTGAATTAGACTATAGTTAAATTTTAAATTTAAATCCGTAATCCCATTGGAAAAAAAAAATGTAAAAAAAAATATACTTTTACTATCTATTAGACGTGATATTAACTATATTAAAAAAACATCGATAAAACAACACAGCCTTGACCATTTATGCCCAAATTTAACGTTAGTCAATATGTTGTGAAGGACCCCTTCCTTATTACCTGTCGCAACATCTAAGTAGACTAATTTTAAATATTTGTTATTTTGGTTTGGCCATCATTTTGTATTATGTTTATCCTAGTCTGTGGGTAACATCTTAGACGTCTCACTACGAATATTTTCTGTATTCCCAGAATTGGAACGAGCAATAGCCGAACGGGCTCGTAGGTTGGAGCAAGCGGAACAGAGCACAGAAGAGCCAGACCCCGGCACCAATCCCACGCTGCAGGAAGTGCGCGCTAGACTGCGGCACGCGGCGCCACCCACTTCGGCGCATTGAATTACCCTTTCCCAGTTCCCAGTGCTCCCGATTTGTTCCCAAAGATGTGCATCCCTTCTTCTTGAATTCTTCGTGTCAAAATATCGATGTTGATAGATGAGATGACCACAATTCTACGCTAGACATTGAATTACCATCTTCTGATTCTGATTTGTTCTTAAAGGTATGCATCCCTTCTACTTACCTACATTCTTCGTGTCAAAATATGGATGTTGACAGATGATCGCATTTCACAGAAAGCTCATACTCCCTTATTAATAAACAAGGAATAAGCTTTGACTAGTTACGCCGTGTTTTGTTCATATCACTCAAATGCCATTTGTCATTTAATAAACAGAGACAAAACATGGAGTAACTAATCCAAGCGTAGTCTTCGTTTATTAATAAGGGGGTTAGGGTTTAAAAGTTTATGTAAGTATAAATCTCGCTAGGCTGCGGCACGCGGCGCCGCCAGCATCGGTGCATTGAATTACTCTTTCCCAGTTCCCAGTGCTTCCGATTTATTCCCAAATGTATGCATCCCTTCTACTTAAGTACACTCTTCGTGTGAAAACATCGATGTTGATAGATGAGATGATCACAATTCTACGCTCGACATTGAATTACCATATTCTGATTCTCCTACCTCATTCGAATCAGTTCACAGATTTGTGCCCGATGGTAGGTCATCCTTTCTTCGCGTCAAAACATTTCACAGTTTTTAAGGGCTCCAGTCCGTTCCCAGTGCTCTCGATTTGTTCCCAAAGGTATCCATGCATCCTTTCCTCTTACATTTTTAGTGTCAGAACATTGGTGTTAATAGATAACCACATTTCACAGAAAGCTCTTAAGATTTATGATTAAAACTACTTTGCTTATCTTAGTTTCGAAATGGAAGTCTTCTATAGATTTATTATAGTGGGTATCCATCAATACAACTGATAAGCGAACTATTTGTTCGATTGTAGAATGACTAGCACCATCTATCGACATCGATCCGAATTACTCGATAGCGCAATCTATGTTAACTTTATGTTTAAATTAAACCGAGAACTCTTCTGTGAAGTGTAGCGATGAAAAATGAACGAAGGCGGGAGTTTTGTAAAGATTTTATTAGAGTGTGTGTCACTGGTGTGATTGGTATGCTTTGATTGCCAAAGCTTTGTAAGAATTATTATTTACTTTATTTTGTAAGTATTGAAAGGCTTTAAATCAATTAGTCTTCGAAATGAGGTCACTTAAAGTGTCACACAATATGAAGGTTCATTCGTGTAGGTATCTGATTAATTAATTTCTATTTGACTAAAGAACGTTTTTACAATTTAGTTTTGATGGAATACATAATGATCACCAAAACTGTTTGGAGTTTTCAAGAAAAGTTCAAAAGAAGTCTTTCCTTTTTGTAACGGAAAAAGATTATAAACGTTCTGTTATCAGAATTGATATTTTATATTGATATTAATATAAATGACAGTGATTTGCTAATTGATTTTGATAAAATGATGCGAATTCGTTTTGTTTTGAATTTTCACATGATAATAAAATATTGTATCGAACAAATTTGACTGAAGAATCGACTGCGTGTGTTAATAAGGGTAAAGTCGATTTTGAGCAAAAGATGAAATATTTTTTTAAACTTTTTAACGTCACAACACTTTAAACTTACGGTAGATACCATTTGTAAGCATTTACTGTTCTTGTTAAACTCCTCTAAACTTATCTATAGATATACGTAGATGTTTAGCTTCCTATCGAATTAACTCTTGTAATCCATATTTTATTACAATATTGTAGAAAGTAGATAGATGTTGGCAATTATAGACTGTAATGATTTAGATATATTACAGTGTATTCATATTTTATCGAGAGTAGAAATCTTATGAACTTTAGAAAGAAAGAAACAAACAGTAGAAATATTTCCATAAAATGTACACCACTGTTAGAATCTTCTATATAATATGATATAAATAAATGATGAATAACATAAAAGTAATTATTGTTCTCTATCTTCCGAATATTATGAATGAATAGTTGACCAGAATGTTTGAATTCAAAGTGTTCATGAAAGTGATAGACGAGAAATATTTTTGTATATTGATGTAATTTCTATAGCCCCTACATTAATTAATAATTGTAACTTAGACCCCGATACGCAGTTGTATTATCACAAAACCAGTAGATTATAGTTCTGTTAAAAAACTTTAATAAATATCTACATAATAAGGATACTTAAATAACCCTGAGATAAAATTGTCTTCATTTTGTGAGAATTGTGTCTATATAACAGAATCTCTAAACATCATTAAATATTTGTTGCAGTTGCGACGTATATAAACAAAAACTCTTCACCATTTACAAAAACATACCATAAATATACAATTTACACATTTCTTTCTCCATTGTGCCTATTTAGATGTTGTTATTTACTTTCAGAGTTATTTATGGTTAACGAATAGATTATAGGAAGACTCTTACAAAAGCGTGTAACAAAAAAAAACCTATTAAGTGTAATTCATTCCACTCGTTGTTCTTTCACATTATTTCATTTAGTTTATCACATATGTACCTATTTCTTTTTTATGTTAAGGTTATTGTTAGGTTGTATTTTGTATTGTATCTTAGTACAAAGTGGCATCTTTATGAAGGTATATTCGAGCTTCGAAAGCTAGTTACGTGGCCATTTAATTCGTATAGTCAACTAGATTCTGTAGGACCTCCGTTAAGTTAATTATTTTTTTAGCTTTACATAAGAAATAAGTCCTATCATTTACTTTCATATTGAAACGGTGCATTAAATTGTTGATCTATTTTATATCTTACACTATATTTTGGTTCTTAATCCATTTAGGATTTGTATTTTTATATTGACCAAAGAATTGCATGGACCAATAATATATTTGTTCATGATCAAAGTACATAAATTTGCTACTACCTACTATAAAATTTAAGCTTATTATACACTTTTCATTAAATTCGTCATAGGTATAGTACCTATGACGAATTTAATGAAACTGTGTAACGGCTAATTCATAGAGATCATTTAATTTTAAAGTTTCATTAAAGCTTTTACTTGTTACTTTAACGAATGAGGAAACATACAACTTTGAGGAGTATTAAATTTAATTGATCTTTTAGCGTGGGCCGTAAGTGCCGTAGTTTAGTACTATTACTGAAGTTATATGTTTCCGGCATCGATATATCAAGTGATAACTACCGCTAAAATCTATTAATTAAAATATATTCTACAGAATCTAGTACACTATGTGACTATAGTTTTTAAGTATTTTATTCTTTGTATTAACCATTATCATGGTTTACGGCAACTGTGTCAGATTCAATGATTTGCATAGACAAATAAAAATGTTTTAGCAAACAAAATGGTTTTATTTAATTTCAACTGGTTTCCGCAAATATTATTACAATTCATAGGATCTGTAAGGTCTAAAAATAAAAAGTTTGAATCTTAATAAATTAAATCTTAAAATCAAAAAGATACAATGAAAGCTGTAAAAAACATTTGCATTATCTCTCAGATTAAATATTTGTGACTTAAAGATGATGGAAGTATAGTAATTATATTAAGTAAACTGACATAGTTGCGGTTTTTAACAATCAGAAGAAAATTCTTTACCGCCACCAATTCGGGACTTCATTTAGCTTGAAAAAAACCAGTGACAATGTTCATTATTACTAAATATTTCAAGAGAAATTATTTTTCTAAGACATTTATACTGCAAGTTTAATGAATACTTTTAAGAATTATTTTTTTAATTGCCTTTATTAAATGAAATCCAAGCTATTATTATAACATAATTTTTATTTATTATTCTACCGCTGCCACGCAGATAACACCACAAAGGAGCAAACACGTATATGTTTATAATAAATTAATTTTATTACCGATGTCATATTTAGTTATTGTTGTAATCTTGATTAATTATTGTCCGAAGTGGTTCAAAAAGGGAACCAGAACCGACACGTTATCGTTATCAGAAATAAGTGCCTTTAAGGTGTCTAGAAGCTCAGCTGTAGTAAAGCAGTGACTAGGAAAGCGAATGTTCGTGTGCAAATAGTACCTTTTTTTAATGGTCATATGCCTTAGTTATATCCGGAGTCACTTGGTGATTTTTATATATTAGTTGTATTTCGAAGTCCTACGAGGTTGTCGAGGATAGGAAGTGTGGCATGTCTGTATCTCACGCTCACATATCAGCATTTTCCACAAGTTACCTACTTTTAACGTCGATTTTTATAAATGATTTTCTATTTTTAATTCTTTAATTTTTTTTAATTTTGTGTATACCCATGCTACTCTTGTCAGTAATTTATGTTGTTGAACTTAGTCATATTATGTCAATGACGGAAGGCCAGTATGGCAGGAGTAGCTATTAAAACTGTTGCAATAACGCATTCATAAAACGACCTATCAAAATGCACACAAAGTATATTAAGTATTGAATAATTAATCCGGGGAAATTTGTCGCGTTTTCGAAGCGTGAAATGCTTTCATTTTCGCGGGAGCACCCGCTTGGTGGTGTGGTGGTGGGCGTGTTAGTCGCCGCTCTGAAGCCGCGCGTGTCTAACGCCGCCGACCATGCTTACAGCGTGCCGTTCTATACACCCGTAGATACACAACCATGTTCACACGCGTCATATATATCCTCCTTATAGCGACTTTAGTCGTCGCATCCCACGATCCCGCCGCAAAAAAACCTAAGAGAAGCCGGCGACCAAAAAATGAAGAAGAATCCACTCCGCAACCCAGTGTTATCTCCTATTCAACCTTCGGTTTCAACGACGTCGGGTCGTACGACGGCTTCGTCCCTACATCACCGGATTATGCAAGTTATTTGAACAACGGGAATCGGGAATCGCACAAAGGACTCTATGCTCCAGCCTTTCCGTCTGCTCCCGATACGACGGGCTTCGGCAGTGACTTTGGACAGATCGATGGATACCCTGATAGCGAAAACGGTGAGCCTCAATCCAGCATGTTGCAGTATCCTCAGAATTCTATGAAC